TAATAATAAATAAAAAATCAATAGAAAAACAGAAGATAAAAACAGTGGGTAAATTAGGAGACTTGCTATAAATTCTAACAAACGTGAGCAAGGTAGAACAACATATTACGAAAATGGAATCATAAAACCATTTTTTTGCATGATAATACAAATTACTAAAAAAGAATATATTTCTCTTTTGGAGTTTCAGTGAAAAATGCTTTCAGCCTGGGTTTATCATGACACAACTGGTAAAGAGTATCCACAGTTACAAGTCAGTCACCATGACAACTGCCTGCTGTTGGGTAATTACATTGTGTCAGACCTATGATCTCATTTAATTCTCATAGAATCCCACTGAGATATTTTATCGTCCCCATCTTACAGATGAGGAAGTAAAGACTCGAAGGCAAGCGACTTACCTGACAGTCAAGACTGAAAGAGATCTGACTTCAGAACCTGATTTTAAAGAATGCAGTTGCCATTCAGTGTCTTCAGGTGTCAGCATTTTCAGTTTGCCTTTCTTTCCCAGCCTCTGAAAGGCAGCCACACCAATAAATCTCCCACTGCTGCCCAGCACCCTAATGCTCCATGTGTACTGTCTCCTGTTGACCCTTCACTTGCTGTGACTTACTTTCTGTACCCCCCTCCCCCATCAAGATTCAGCAGGTTATGACTGGCCAGGTGACAAATGGAATCATGATTCAACCAATGGGGAAAAAAACAAATGTTAACATCCAGGGTGCTCACTGCGGACTGTGGGAGAGAGTTCCTCCATAGGGAAAGTAAATCTGAAAGGTCTAAATTAGGCAGTTTGGTGAAAGGACTGAGGCAGTTTGATTTTTTAATTTAACTTACTAGTGAATTAAATAATGTGCTGTGTGTGGTGTGCATATATGTGTGTGTGGATATGCTTGCCTGTGCATGTGGAGTCCAGAGGTTGAAGTCTTTCGTTGTTTTTCTCCATCTTTGGCTTTTTTGGTGGCAGGGTCTCTCACTGAACCTGGAACTTCTGACTGCACTGGCTGGCCAGCAAGCCCCTGGGACCCATGTGTCGCTACCCTGTGTAGCATTGGAGTTGCAGATATGTGCTGCACATGCTCAGCTTCTTTCTACACAGGCATCAAGTATCTGAACTCAGGTCCTCATATTTGCGCAGCAAGAACTTTACTCACTGAGCCATCTCCCCAGCCCCATTTTGACTTTGAATTTACAATTGTGGGATTTTTTTTCTATTTACCACTTCATTTTGTTTCTTGAAAAGAAAGTCATTCATGCTGGTGCAGTCATACGTCTTATCTTTGGTTTTTCCTCTTGATTTTCAATGAGGTTTAGATTCTTGGAGAATTACACTAGTTTTTATGTTTAATTCCTACATGTAGGAAATTGAAACTAAAATATCAGCAAGGGTGATTCTGTCTTATTTTCCATTGTCTTCTAAGCTAGGTGGGCTTGGAGGACTCTAGGAGCCGCTGACCTGACAACACTTTGGTCCCTCCTCCTAGGCGAGGAGATCTAGCAGCAATAATTCAGAATGAGGGAAAGGGACCGTCAGAGTAGAACATGAACTTTGGAATCAGAATCATAGCCCTACATTTAATAACTATATGAATTTCAGCAAACTAGCTTCTTTGAATCTCAGGTTCGTGGATGTCTTATAATAATAATTGTTTATAATATGTGCAATTTTTTGTATGTAACTACATGCATGCCCCTTTTCTATGGAGAGTGTCTATAATTTTGATAAGATACTAAAAAGGCTGTCTCTGACTCTAAATGGGATCTGTAGTGCTGACAAGCTCCTCTAAATAGGTTCTTCTGGTTCTCATGAACGAGTGTTACCAACCCGTGAACGAAACATTTTTAAAAGGTGAAAATCATCCTGCAGAGACAGCGTCTTTCACATACGCCATCTGTTGTACAAAAATGGGGGGAAAGTGCTGGCTATAGTAACACATATGTTAAAACTGGAAAAACATAGAGAAAATTAGTGTGGCTCTAGTGAAAGGACGACATGCAACATCGTGATGCTTCTTGTATTTCCTAAAAAATGGATGAAAATTCATCGAAAAAAATGGATGAAAATAATGTATGCATTTTTCCCCTCCCAAACCCAAACTGCTTTTACATCTGTAAAATATCTCTGGAAGGACACGCATGAAGAACTAATGGCATTGTTTGCCACTGAGGAGGAAAAAGTAGGTGCCTTGGAGTCAGAAGAGGGAGGGAGAATTTTCATAAATATAATTTTTTATATTAGCAGCAAGAGATTTTACTTCACTTTCAAAATTTATTTATTGACATCTCAACATGCAGCCTGGGCTTGCCTCAAACCTGCATCCTTCTGCTTCTGCCTTCAAGTATGGGGAGCACTGGGATTACAGGGGTGTGCGTACCATCATGCCCAGCATGCACTTGTCCATGGCAAGCTGTGTATGCATGCCCACATGAACACTCAGACCCTGAAGCAGCAGGAATTGATGATCATTTCAATTCAAGGAAAAGGAAAGAAATACCACCCACGTGTTTTTATCCACACATTTCTACTTCCTGAACTTTGAACTATAGCAGTTGGTTGTCTGCTCAAAAAATTAAGTTGGCAGCTCAGGGCAGGTTAGGCATTCCTCACTTCTTGGTGTTCATAGTCTGGAGCATGAGGTGCTTAAGCAAACTCTTGGGTCAGCCTGGCCTCCCACTTCCAGATGGATGTTTAATTTCACCACATAGACTCACGGAGAGTCTCAGCACTATTGATGCTGAGGCAGGAGGATTGCTTGAGCTCAGGAATTCAAGGTTAGCCTAGATATCATAGGAGCACCATCTCAAACAAAACAAAATACAAAAAGAACTTTTAAAAAAGAGCCTTTAAAATGAGAAATGAAGCGTTTTGAAGAAAACTTTATGTGAAGCAATGTTTGGCTATTTTGAGAATCATAAGTTTTTAATCAAGAAGTAACTATAAGCATTTCTTTTTAAATATGTTTAAACTGGGAGTGGAGACATGGCTCAGCAGTTAAGAGCACAGACTGCTCTTTTGAGGATCTGGGTTTGGTTCCTAACACCCACACGGTGGCTAACAACTGTCCATAACGCCAGTTCCAGGGGATCTGATGCCCTGTTCTGGCCTCTGTGGGGCACATGCACATGGTGCACTTACATACATGCAGGCAAAATTCTCATATACATGAAATAAAAATGAATTATGTTTATATTTAAAAAGATTAAACCAAGTTAACATATACATCTCCTCACATACTTTTTGTGGTAAAGACATTACAAATATATTCTTTTTTTTTGGATAAGAATGCTTTATTCTGGATCCAAATAACATATAGCATTGTATCTAGCCCATAATTATTCTTCTATATACACACCTTTTAAGTTATGTTGACTTTTTACTTCTTATTTAAGATTTTAGTGTATCTTTTTTTTTAACTTAATAAAAAAGTTAATTGCTCAACTCCCTCCGCTTTCCTGAGCTGCACAATACACCAGCCTCTTTCCAGGACACCAGGGCTGACCCCTCGGCCCAGAACCACCACTGCTTGCATCCAGATGAACCCAGTTCCTTCTCATGGTCCCCAGGAGCCCTGTAGGCCTGGTTCCACCCTCACCTCCCTCTGCTTCCCTGGGCCTGCACAACCCACCAGCCGCTCTCCTGGGTAAGTCCATCATGCCCTCCACACCTTGACTCCCCCAGCCTCATTTGCCCTCCCATTTCCCCTGCCTGTCTCTCCTCCTAGCCTGGGACCTGTACCATTCCTTGTTTTTGCACCCCAGACACTGGGGGAATCACCACTGCTTCCTGATCCTTTGCATCCAGACCAACCCAGTTCCTCCCTGCTATCTCCAGGAGCCCTTGGGGCCTCTTCCTGTCCCCATCTCCCTTTGCATCTCTGGGTGGCATAGCCACTGCCTGCCTGAAACCAGCATCTTTCCTGGGCCCTGCTCCCAGGCCAGTCCAACCTGGAAATTCCTGAGGACAACATCTTTCATGGAGGGATCCAGACCATAGGAGAAAGCCTGAGAGCATCTATCTGATCCTCATCTGACTTGGGCCTCTGTGGGAACTCCTGAAGACAAAAGCAGTCTTGCCACTCCAATATAAAATCAAAAGAGAGAACAGGAAGCTTAGAGGAACCATCTTTTCATGCCCAAAAAGTAAACCACAAAGACACAAAAGTTTACAAAAAGAAACAGACCTAAACTTGAAGGCTTGAGTCTCACACAAGAATCAGAAACTACAAGAGAAATTCACATGTCAAAATCACAGAGGAAAAAAATAATAACGTGAAAAACCAAAATAGCATATCCCCACCAAATATCAATAGTCTTCTAGAGGAGTACAATGAGAACCCCCTAAAGATAATGCAGGACATGGAACTCAAAAGAACAATTATAAACATGATAAAAGAATTCAGTGAATTTAAAGAACACACAAACAAAGAAATCAAAGAACTGAAGGAAAATAGGGATAAACTGAACGAATACAGAAAAGAGTTAGAAATACTGAAAACCACTCAGGCTGAAATGAAAAAGGAAGTGAAACACTCAGTAAGCCAATTAGAAATGACAGGAGAAAGCCTCACCCAAAGGATGAATGAAATGGAAAACAGAATATCAGGACTGGAAGGTAAAGTGGACAAACTAGACCACTCAAGAAAAGATTATGAAAAATTTAAGAAAGCACAAGAATGGAGTATGCAGGAACTGTGTGACACCATAAAAAGACCAAACTTACAAATCATAGGCATACAGGAAGGAGAAGAATCCCAAAATAATGGCATGGACAAGATCCTCAACAGAACCATAGAAGAAAATTTCCCAAAAATAAAGAAGACATGCCCATTCAAATACAAGAGGCTTATAGAACACCAAACAGACAGGACCAGAAAATAAACTCTCTATGGCACATCATAGTAAAAACACTAAATGTACAAAACAAAGA